TTTTTTTGGTGTTTATTTAGTCTATATAGTCCTGCTCATCTGCCCACGGTGGACAGTGTCCACCACTTTATTTTACATGAAAAACGTATTTTGAGAATACGTTTTTCAATTAATTCAATTTAAAAACGTATTCTCAGAATACGTTTTTCATAAAGTGGTGGGCACTGCCCACCAAGCAGGGGATCAAAATTTTTAGTCTATATTATTGAAGTACTTTAGTTTTCTTTGTGGGAGTTTGGCAATTTTAATTAATGTTTGGTTTGTTTTGTGTTGTTAGCTCTAGGTTACTTCTGACTCTGAGTAAACCTTTTGGATTCAAATTAGTGAGCTGATGAATTCAGTTGTTCTAGTTGTTTTTTTAGTTTGTAATTCTAGTGTTTATTATAAACTATAGTTTTTTTTTTCCTTTTTAAAAGTACCTCAAGTTAACTAAAATCGAGAGCGAATGGGCTCGGACGAGCACAAAACAACCGTCTGGGCTAACAAGAGCTAGGAAGAACAAGTTCACGCCCCAAGACGAATGGGGCTTGTCGAGACTAGATGGAATTGCTCAGAAGTCGCGGGCGTATATGAGTTGTCAGGTGCTTGTGGGGACATGACTCGTCACAACCTAGTGATGCTCGTTGCAACAACGTACTAGACGTTGTGAACCGATTGCATAGCGAGCTCTACTAATTTCTGTTGTGGGGTTCGATTAGGTCAAAACTCCTGTCGCAGGTGTGATTGGACGAAATATTGTGTATTTTATATATTTTATTACCGAATTTTTATATGATTATTTTTTCCCACATATATAGTTTTCGACTTTATTTATTTATTGGATGTATTCTTGTATTTTGATATTTTTATGTTTTATTTGTAGGATATTAGAGTATTTTTCGTAGACGGTAGCACTGTACGAAATTTCACTTGCGCAGTATAGGACACCCCATACCAACCCAGTTTTTGGCCCATCCGTACAATGTACAATAGTTAAGCCCATATTCACCAATTTGTGGGCCTAAAAAGACTTGGCCCAGAAATTGATTGCGTTCTCTAAAAGCCGGCCCAAGTGTGTTATTG